TTGTTGTCCAGTTGTAACATACAGTTATCTCACAGATGCCTGCCTTGCCAAGCCAAGCAACAGCCGATTCACTGGCAGCCTTTCGGTGTTGTCGGGCTGCTTGCAGGCCGTGCTAGAGGGCCCTCCTCAACAGTGCACGTATCGTCATTTGTACGTGCCCGCAGCTGCAGCATGACCTTTCACGTTGGCCCCCATCTGCAAACACGAGCTGCACGCTGCATTTGGCCAGTCTGGAACCTGTTCAGCCAGCAGCATGGACAGCTTAGAAGGTCAAATCCAGAAGGGTGCATGATGCAGTTGGCTAAGGCCATTGATGAAGACCATTCCTCTCGCTGGCATGACTGCCTGTGCTGGCCTGGCACGTGGGGAAAGCAGTAACACTGCATTTGTCACGCTGTGACCTGTCTCAACCCCGGACATATGTGGCCATCTGTGCTTCTTATGAGACACTCCTGTGGTGGTCTCCTGCCTTCAGGAGCACCCTTCAGCTCCAAACCCTTCGGCTGAGAACCAGCTGAAATGTGCCAGGAACCAACTCCTTCACCTATGCTACCTCAGCTCCTTGCCCTTCTCCCCCAGGCCTTGATAGCTCTTAGCAGTGCCATTTATTCACGGCCAAAGAACTGACAGAAACTAAGAGCTACTTGCGTGCAGGGGGGAAGCAGCCTGTTTGCAGTGGAGGATCTTGCTTGTACGAGCTCTTGTGGGCTAGTGTGTTAGGGGTGAGTTAGGATGGGAGCGTGTTTTAGAAATAGCTCAGATGTCTCTGTGCTACATTACTCAACTTCCTATACAGCTAGGTCTACACTGCATTTATATTTTAGGGACCCAGTAATCTCCTAAAAGCTGTATCGACCTGAACATGAAGGATGATGAGCAGTTTGGAAAGTAAATATTTTATTTGTTTCTTAGTAGAGGTAGTATGTGTTTTGGATAGTAGTGGTATGGATTTAAAATACGCTGTCTCCCTTTCCCTCCATATTATGCTACCACAATTGAAGTCACTGGAAGCACTTGTGCTTTGGTACACAGGAGGGCAGTACCTGAAAACCTGAATTTAGTTTAAAAGACCATGCTTCAGGTCCCATCGTATAAAGCAGACTTCTAGAAGGCTGACATGGCAGTGCTGAGCAAGGGGAAGCCATCGCACTAATTTGATTACACATCTCTATGCAAGGGTGGCAGAGCTTAGGGCTTGCCCTAGCCACCCATGCCCATTCACACACTCCATGCTTGGAAAGATGCCAGTGAAGATGCCTTATGGTTATTCTGTAGTGGCTTCCCTTGAGTGTGCCAGAGAAGTCAAAGTCTTGAGGGGCTGCAAAAAGATGCCTTAGGCCAGCATTCCCCAAACTTCCTGGGGCTTATGCTCTACTGCATTGTTTTCGCACCTCTCTACTTCGGCCACCAATTTTCACCTGTGCCCCTTTCCCTCTGCTCCCAGAAGCTTTTGTGTCCCCAGAGCATGTGCCTGGCAGTTAGGGAAATGCTGCCCTAGTTCTCTGAAGTTCTTCAGTGGGGTAGTCCCATGTTTGGAGCAGTGGCGGAATAGCCTGGCCAGGACATGCTGCTGCTCTGGTATAGATGCATCTATCGGTGTGTCCAACCAGAGTTGATACTGGTTTTTAATACTTTTTTTAGCCCTGCCTCCTGTTCTCTGAAAATACAATAGGATCAGTTATTTTGTCTTTGTAGAGGGTGGGGAAAAATTATCATCCATCCCTTAATAATCCTAACATTTCAAATCAGTAAATGAAGCAACATAATTACTCTACCACAACTGAATCCACCACAGACCTATCTTGCTACAGGTTGTGCAAGAGAAACCAATGCATACATAGTAATTTAGGGTGCATCCAGAAGAGTGCAGACATTCGTTTCCCCAGGGACAAGTAGCAGTGGCACATCTGCGCTCGGCAGGGTTCCCCAGGTC